TGATTAACATTTTGCATACAGAATCACAAAAGTCTAAAAGCATTGTTATATATATATTTTAGCCATTAATCAAAATTATAATCATTAAATAATTTGAAATAAATAAGATGTATTAAATAATTATGTATTATTTATATCTTTAATTTTATATATCTAAGAATTTAATACCAAATTAATATGTTTCTTCTTCATTTAAAAATATTGTCGATTTTTAGGCATTCAATACTGCTACTCTTATGATTTGAGATTTTGCATATTTTAACTCAAGATAATTTTAAAATTTTGATAAATTTAGAATAATAAATATTGCAATGATCTTGAATTTTTTGCTTTGCATTTATTTAGATGTATCTAAAAATATTATTATAAAATTAGAGATATCCTTGATATTATTAAAAAATTAGAATAAAATTTGGTGATATACTATATTATTTTATAAATATTTGTACAGATAGTCCTTCTCTATGCATGCAAAACTTATGTAAAATGCTTAAGTTACTTACAACATTTGTTATGTAAATACTTTGTCGATGAGTTTTAATATAACTATAACATTTACATTCCACGATAACCAAAATATAAAAAATCATATCTATATATGATTAAAACAACACATTATGAATAATTACACTGATTTTATTTAATACCGTCTATAAAAGAAAAATATCTAACAAATAATAAAATTAATCATTGTAAATTTGAACATTGATAGGCTCTATACCAAAAAACGTTTGAAATGAAAAAATCAATAGATCTTTTTACAAAAGTGAGTAAATTAGAACTTATTATTTTCTAAGAATGTTAGATTGATTAATTGATTTTTTTTTTATTTATTTTTAAATCAAAGAGAAACACTGTCATAGGTCAAATATTGATACAAACGCTTATGCAGGAATTTCATAAAGGTTGTGTTTTTCAAAATACATGTGGACTATGATGTGAGATACAAAAATAGTTCAAAAAGAAAAAAGAGAATAAAAACCTATTCAAAGAATAAATCCTAAAATAAAAACAATATTTTTGAAAAGCAAGCTAACCATAATTTTAGTTTTGTTGAGTATAATATCTAAAACTGTAAATGGCATTGTGACATTTAAATCACATAAGGGTATGTTGAATGAATTTATTTACAATTAAAGAATGAAATCATTACTGATTATTTAACAAAGCAATGGATAAAATTGGTTGCACAAACTTTCAACAACATATTCCAATTTGGTTATTTGAAAAGAATTTATTGGCACATGCACACAACAAAAGGGATTGATGATAAGATGTTATTGACATTGGGTGAAGCATTGGAACATAAAGCGCACCAAAATGGCACATTTGTACAAACAAAGTGACTTAATCCAATGCAACACAATGACTTGTAGACAAAGAACAAGAATGCATGGAATAATGTGTGAACAAAGGGTAATATGACAGAATGAAAGAATGAAACAAGGAATGACACAAAGAATGAGCAAGAGTTGTGGACCTCACATTAAATTGACAAAGAAGAGACAAAGATGACAATGGGATTATGCCAAAGTCTCCTTGACTTATATTCATACTTAATAGAATCTATGTATGGCTGGCATTCTAATACCCTACCTTTCAAACTGGGGTTTAATGTAGACTATTCATGTGTTGACAATTTGTATAAAAAAAGAATGACATAATTTAGATTATCAAAAAATCCAATTGTGTAAATAATATCATTTTGTGTGTGTGTGTGTGTATTTGTTTGTTTGTTTGTAGGAGGTAGATTTTTTTGGTGAAAGTACTTGACATACAGACTACTCATTTAAAAAATTGAGTTAGTTATATGTGTGTACCCACATGTACTACTCGGAATGAGTTAGTTATATGTTTCAATATTCATCAACGTTTACTTTGAAAGTTTTAATATTATTGACAAATCATTGTAATAAAAGTTTTCAATTCATAATCATCTCTGTGAAAGAATCTGGCATTTTTTTTTTTTTTAAATTATTTATTCATATTTCAATTTTTAATGTTTTACTTTGATTTGTTTCTAATGAAAGAGTGTCATATTACATTGCAATCATTAGCTGTAATAAAATATACATACACACACATACATACCAGAATTGCTATGTTCCTCTCAAATGTTTATTTTGGGTGTACCTTAAGTTCAAATAGGAATATATATGTATATATATCATACTAAATTGAAGGATTTAACTTTAAACAACAAGTGTCATATAATTTAAAATTGTGTCAAAGTTTGCATGCACCAATGCAACATATTTTAACGTTTAATTTTTTGGATTACTTATTTTTTTTGACATAATTTAACATTGACATGTGGTTTGTGTAGAAACAACTCAAATTTTTATGGGAATGCTTATATTATTCAATTGTAGCAAACAAACAATTAAATGATTGTTGAATCAATATTGGCAACATAATTATTAATGCTAGCTGCATTAAATAGTGATGAAAACTTATTGCAGAACTTGTGAGTAGACAGGTGGTAATTATATTCCAATATGTTGGTGAAAATTTATTGATCTAGACATTTTAATATATTTATCATCATACATACATGTGTATTCATTTGGTGGGTGTCCCAATCTAACATTCTGAAATTAATATACTTATACTAGAAAAATAATTGTGTCTTTTAAGTATTTTTGTAATTTTCAACTTTAAACCATTAATGGAGGACACGAGCATGAAATTTCAAATATTAAACTCTAATTTAACTTTTAAAAGTTTCACTCTATCAATGAAATTGCGAATTTCAATGTTCAATCACACCATACAAGCATACGAAAATTTAAACCAGTCAAAAGACAGTTAAAGAAACAAAAAAAAATATCAACAATATTATATATATATATATATATATATATATACCATAAAATCATACAATAGCTGTGCAAAATATGAACAAGACATGACAGAACATATATATATATATATATACATATGGGAATGTCAAATTGACCCCAGCTTTTGCTGAATCAACCCACTTATCAAAACCATCATTATCAAAAGCTTTATTATAAAAATGTTTTGTGACTAAATGTTACTAATGTTGCATTGCAATTTTCTAATTGCATTTAAAAGATAATACATCTTGTTTTAATTTAAACACTATCGGATTACTTGATTGTGTTTTACATGCACGTAGAGTCTAAAAAGTTTCAACTTAGATTTTAAAAGTCTTTTAAAATAGACGTCATGCGTAAAATTCATGGCTTTGTGGTTCATAGTTTGTTTCTCAAGTAAGGAACATGAATTCCTTTGAAAGTTGAATATCATTTTCTAAAAAATGGAAATGAGAGTAGGAATGAGAGATGGGCGCTAGGAACAAAGACTAGGGGTTGGGACAGGAGACGAGGGTTAGGAATGGGAACATGGGAGAAGCATTGGAAATGGGGGAGGGGGGGGGGTCTAGTGATGGTTTTGATACATATACACACAAATATACGTTCCCTGTCTCCAGTTCCCATGGGGTGTCGTGTTAATAACACCCTAGATAGATAGATAAATAAATATATTTATATATATATTTATTATAATAGTGATGAGTGTAGCAGGGAAATGTCTGACAGCATTGAGACTCAAAACAAGGGAGCTGTCTGACAGCATTGAGATTCAAAACAAGGCTTCATGCACAACGGAACGAGGAGACCAGCAGCACACACCTGGCAGCAACTGCAACAGCAGCAAAGGGGGCTCTGGTGCCGATAGAATTTGCGGTGCAGGATTCAATTCTCTCACGTGGACTGCGTCCAGGTCGGCGATGGACTTAAACCACCTCAAGCATCATCCCATCCCAGGGGGAGGAAAGATTCCCCATCCACGCCATTGGCACTCGCATTGAAAGCTAACTGAGCTCCCAACCTACCTCACTGGTCCACACTTGTCCTGCACCGTTTTACCCGCCGCCACCCCCCCCCCATTGCCGTTTTCACACCCATCATGCCCTCTCGGTGTGGGTTTCCATTACAGGAGTCGACGGTGTCGAGATTCGGATCCTAGAACCAGTCGGAGAATCTTATCTAGCTTTTAACAAGTCACAGGTGTGAGTAAACGCCCCCACCCCCCTGCAGAACCTGGAGCAACACTGGCTTGGGACTTGACGGCAGGGCGATCCAGCGATGAGCCCATGCTTGGCAGAAGCCCGGTGCTGCGTTTGGTCTTCCTCGCGGGTTTTTACTGACCTGGAGCTTTGCGTTGCAACGACGGGGTTCAGGATGAGGAGGAGAGTATGAGGCATCGTCACTGGTATTGCGGACAGTGCGTGGGGATTGTAGCACACAACAAGCACGATGTGATATAAAAAGCAATTTGGAATATGTAGAACATGTCAATAGTCCCCTGCATGTCACAGTATCGTAGACTGCGCCTCTTCTGCGCATGTTGTGAAGATCCAACGTTTTCGAAATTGTCACCTAGCCAGAGCATGCCGACCCGAATGGTGGGCAGCAGCTGGAGGCGGAGGAAAACGGCAGGAAAGATGTTTTGTTCTTGTGTATTTGTGTGTGAGCGTTTGTGTGTACCATCGCGTCATGACAGCGTATGGGCATTGACACACATCGAAAATGGTGATTTGTCATATGGTGCAGCAGAAACGGTTGCACAGTTTCAGAATTTCAATGTACACTACTTTCATTAATGTTACTAGATTCAGCGGAGGAGGAGTTTTGCACTGCTCATCATGTAAACACTGACATGACCGTGTCTGTGCAAGCAGAACATTTCGGACTGAACAAAGTGGATTGAGGTTAAATGGAATGTAAATTTGTAAAGTTCTCAATCTAAGAGTAGATTACGTGCAGAGGGTTCGCACAGGAACCAAATAAAGGTACAGAAAGGTTCGACAGCGAATGGTTCAATTTGTAATATTTCGAATATAAGGCGTATTAACAGATCATCAGCGTACAAGTGAAGATCAGTCACGTTTGTCCATCCAAACCCATAATTACAATGCCAAGGATTATAGAGGAGAAAAAAAAAAAAAAAAAAAAAAATCCCGCATCTTTCACAAGGTGATTACAATATCAATGTGTTGGAACCAGTTACATCCGAAATAATTTGGAACGGTCCCGTTTTAAATCATCGGAATTCTCAGCAGGTAGATCGAAAATCTGTACAACCTACACAGTTGCAACATTTTCCCAACTGCAACTGAAATCACTTCATGTTTGTCATGTGTGCTAGCTCTAGGCCATTCCACTTTCTACCAATACAGTGGATCTATATCTCACTGCTAAGAGACGGAAAAGTTTGACTTGGACGACGGAATCGGAAGAGATAATTGAAAGAATTCTGTGACAATTTGCAGAGATCTTATAAAAACCTGATAAAGATAACAATCAAATACTAATAAGCTGCTAAATCAGTCTCTGGAAACGGGATTCTCTTGGGAATCCAACTCTACAGAAGCACACGAACCTCGCAAAATTGGAACGGTGGATGCAACCTGCAAAAAAAAAAAGAAATAAAATCGTACGCAACCGTAACAGAAGATTCAATTGAAGCTTCATATCAATTAAGAACTCTAATGAAGGTGAATTGAGAATTCTCACTTACAAAAACATTCCGACAGCCAAAGTATTTAGATATAATATCGAATCGCATGAAGTTTCAACGGCAATTAAAAAAATCCGGATTCAGCAGTACATATTGACTTACGAATTGAGACTGTAAAGACAACAGCTAGTATATGGATTGAATCTTGGAACGCAGGTGCAACAGAAGACTGGGTCAGCCCAACACCACGGGAACATGAAAACAGGCGATCATAGATTGGCAACCCTAGCAGGCGAACACTGAATCAGGCCTGTGAAAGGAGGAGCTCCCTTCAGTCCAAGAGATGCTAACCTGGAGATCGATCAGCTCCCGGATCAGACCTTCGGATTCCATATCACGCGTCGTGATATGGAAGCCGGAAGTTTGAGTCGGCAGCGGTACAACCTTCGACATTAGCTGCTACTGGACTGAAAAGAGCTCCGCGCTTGCATGGCTTGTAACCGAGAATGACAACGATAATTGCATGTACCTCACACTGATCACAAGTGTCGGACGTCGATGGGCAAGCAGGCGGTTAGCTGGTCCCACGTTCTATCACAATCTCACCTGAATCATGTCACACTCAATCAATCACTGTCGGCTTGATTTGAGGAACCGAGAGAAAAGAGCAAAAGGGGGGAGAGAAAAATGAGGTAGAGAGAAGAGACTGGAACACAAAGCAGAAATCAGACAACGCGTTGAGACAGTTCCCAGCCAAAAAGGTACTGGATCCCCTGCTGTGTACATCAAACCATCGAAGTCGATCTTTCCGGCCCAGGACCCGGCCCAGGACCCGGCCCAGGACCAGAGCACTGAGGGAGAGCCACAGTGAGCGGGACGAGTCACGACCCAACTGCTTCGCAACCAGCGTCCCGGAAATACCTGGAACCGAACCAAACCGTATGCAAGTAACTGAGGGCAGTACTATAGGATGATGGACGAGGAGAGCACGCGAGGTAGGGAGTGTGATGGTGATGATCCCAGAGCGGAGAAAAAGGGAGGAGCGCGGCAGGTGCTGCTGCTGCACAATCATCCTGGCTGGGCGAGGGAGGGGATGTGGATAGGGGTCAGATGATACATACATGTTGCAACTGGGGAGCTCAGGTTAGGACTTTATAGGGGCAAGGTGATGGGCAGGCGGTGGCGAGAGCGGGTAGTCGGGGCGGCCGAGGAAGGCGGGAGGGGGCATCACCGTCATCAGTATCATGGGATTGGTGGCTGACTTACTCACTTACTTACTGTCCAATCCCGTCCCTTCCCTTCCCTCCTTCCAATCGCAGCATCGCATGTTCCTCGATGCGATGCGATGCTTTTGCTTTGGTTGCAGTGAGCTAGGCATGGAGAACGACGAAGAAGAAGGAAGTGGAAGCTCCGCCCATGCCATCCCGTGTCATCCCATGCCACACCACTCCCGAATTTTTTTTCATGTCACACTGCCCGTCTGCCTGCCTCCAGCAGCAGCAACGGCAGCACCCCACAGAACCCATCCTCCTCCTCCAAAAAATTACTTGCCCGCATGCCTGCTGCTGTTGCTGATGCACAGCTTTCGACGATGTCGCGACCACCTCCGCAACTCACTCTCACTGCACCACCCCCCTCCCCAACCCAGCCGAACCCAAGCTGTTACATCTTACCGCGGCTACTATTCTTACTCTGAAGGTGGGTTTTTTAAATGTTAGTTGATATTTCCGGCAGTTGTGTTGTGTTGTGCGGGTGAGGTTGTTTTTATTCACACACACACACATATATAGATATATATATATATATATATATATTACGTATATATTCGCAATCTAACTGTGAATCAAGTTGGTCCTGGCTGGGTTTGGTAGAGCTGGGCTTGGCATTCCAGCATCTCCTGTAGGGAGCACGTGGTTGCTCTTGCCCTGCAATTTTACTCGCTGGTGTGGCTGTTTGTGCCCCACTCTCCCTACCTTTCCTTCTATTTATTACCCCTCCCCCTACTCTGCATCTTTTTTCAGTTGGTTGTGATTGATTGCATCGAGATTCGTTGCTATTGTGTACAAACTGCTGTTACTTGTATCAAGTACTTGCACTATTGGGTTGGGTGGATGTCAAGGAGGATATTGGATATTGGGAAAAGAAAAATAAATATTAGATGAATGTCGTCATTTCTCAAAGAATGCGGCAATTTGTTAGTGGGTTAGTGAAGGAGTCATTGGATTGGGAGTTCTCATGCAATCTTGGGTCATGCTGTAAAACGTGATGTATTGTGGCTATTGCATGAATTGTATGGTTGTTGTTGTCGTTGCTATTTTATTTTTTTGTTTGTTTGTGGTAGGTTTAACAAGTTGTGGAAAGTTTGAAAAAGTTTACAAAAGTTGTCGTTTCTATTTTCTTGAAATTGGTTTTTTGAAATTATAAAGTAGAAGTCTGAAGAGAAGCACAAACCACTAGCATAAACTAGATGCTTTAGATTTATTTGTTGAATGTATTCTTTTCTTCTGATGTTCTACAATACATAAACTTAGATAAAACACATGAAGCTGGATATATGCAACATTGACTGCAAAGCAAAGAAACTATAAAAGTCAAGCTAGAAATAAATAAATATAATATGAACAAGAATGATGGTAAAAATTTTATATTTTTAAAATATTTTATTTTTTGTAATTTTTTATTAGATTAATATAAATCATGCTGAACATTGTATAGATGTTTATTATGATATTAAATGGCATTTTCAAAAGTGTGCACTTAGAGTATTTATTACAAACAAAAATTTAATTTAGATTTCAAAAATATTAGACAAAAGATATATTTTTATTTTAATTTTATATATATATATATATATATATATATAGGAATAAAAGAAAATTTACTCATTTACTAAGTTAAATAATTTTTCAATCCTAAAAGAATTTTATTTGTGGCAGTTATTTTAGAATCATTAACAAGAATATTTTGAAAAATTCAACCAATCACATATATCTCTTAGAATTCATAGGAGTTTCAAGACAAACTTCACTACAAAGACTAAGACAACCTATGCTTAGTTGGATTATGATAAAAACTATCTTAACTTAAGATAAATACTAAATAATAAAAAATTAGCGACAAAATTTTATCTAGCAACATGCTGCATTAAATATGCATAAAAAATTGTGATGAGATTAAGTATATTATATTAATTATAAAAACAAATCGTATTGAAAACCATAAAAAAATTACTCTATTATATGACAAATAATTTTTTTTATCAAATAAATACGTCTTTATTTTAAAAAAATATAGAAGAAATTCTAAAGATGTGTAAATGTGTAATATTTGTCAAAAAAATTTATCAAAAAGAAATTAAAATATATAAAATAATTTTAAATTCATCTATACTTTATATAGTTTTGTATTAGAGGATTTCATTAATCTAAGATTTTTTTAATATATTTTTTTACTTTAGCAATAAAAATATCTTTTAAATCTAATTCAATAAGAAATTCCAATTTGATAATAAAAACATACAAAAAACCTATGATAATCTAATATATTTTTTATTTTGTTTAAAGAAATGCTAAATAGACTTAGGTTTTTACTAAATCAACCTACTCATGATGAAGAATATGGTAATCATGTTGAATGTGGTTGGTTTTCACTAGTTTTGGATCTAGTATTGAAGAAATGAATCTAGAGGTCTTTTTTTGTCCATAATGATTGGAATGGATGGACCAATTTAGTAAAAGCTAGGGTCTATTTGACATTTCTTTTAATTTAAGATAAAATGTTTATAAATACATCTGCTATAAATAATTGTATTCTTTTTATTCTTAAAATCATTTGTATATGTAAGTGCAAAATTAGAAATTAAAAAACAATTAAATAAACATAAGTATTATTGTGTTATGTTACAAATTTTATTAAATGATAGTATACATATTTATGAAGAATCTTTCTTGTGTAAGAAAATGTACATGTATACATACACAAACGTATGTATAAATCATCCACTTTAAACCGTTTTTATCCTCAAAAAAAGATAATTTTCATTTTCTGTGATGGTTTCATGAAGACAAGGAAGTGTGAAGTTTTCAAAGGGAATCCACATAAAAGTCCACACACTTTTTGTTACGGTGTTGGTAAATATATTAGCACATCTATATATACCTCAGATAGTACATACACTAGTATTATTAATAACCCTAATTCTGTGCATAGGTCACAGTTATTTAATATACATTATTTGATTGAAAAACTTCTAATCATTCAATTGCATTGTTATTGAAGACACCATATCAGCATTTGAAGCTCATTAATTTTTTGATCCTTTTGATTTCATCACTAATTTAATAATCATACATAACTTGATCTTCAAAATCCAATCATATTTTACCTTATTAATCCTAAAAATGCTATTTTAAAGAATTGATTATACTAACAAAACATTCAGTATTTTTTATTATAATAATGAAATAGTTCAACTTTATGTATTTATGTGAATATTTATGATCATTTATTTTAGTGTATTTCAATACAAAATTTTTGAAAAAATTGTGATGCATTTAACTTTTTTTCAAACTCTCAAGTTTATCCTAATAAAATATCACATCTTTTTGTATTTGTGAACACAAGTACACATTTAAAGCACATAATCCTTACAGAATTGATTTGAATAAATTCTATCCTTTAATGTAATGGTTAACATTATAAAAAAGTAATATTGTCTTAAACTTACATTTTTAATCCTCTTTTAATTGAAATATCAAAAATTTGAATGTTCTACATGCTCAACATTGTGTGAGACTTTATATGTATCCATTTTCTTATGGCATGCAATTTCTCAATCAAAATCAAGGTGTTCTTTCTATATATATATATATATATATATATATTTTTTTTTTTCTTCAAATGGATGAATATATAATCCATTAAACATATTGGTTCTTTTTCACAAATCCTTTTGTAAACTTTTGTTGTAATTTTAAAAATAAATTGATACTTCATATATATATATATATATATATGACTTGCAATCCCTATGAAAAGATCTATACTTATATATGTGTATCTATATATATATATATATATGAAAATAAGTGTTGACACTTCAACTAATTTTAAATCCTTTTCAACATAATCAATAAAATGTGTTCACAAACAAAACTTTTAAAATAACATTTTTTATGTTTTTTTCTCATAAAATTGAATGCAAGAATTTTGAAGTCTTTTATGTGAATTAGATGAAACTTAAACAAAAAAATATTAAAAATCAATAAAAAAAGAAAAAGAAAAATCTATTTTTTTTTGACTTGTTGGTCCTACAAGTGTATGTTCTCTAGGTGTACCCGATGACGAATGAAATAATCAGTTCAATACTTAGTTTTAGCTATGCAATTTTGCATTATATCTTAATTAACAAAAATTTGCTGATGTCTGACACTTTCACATGCTAAATCTGTAGGAAATCAAGCCTATACATCCACAAATAGTCTTAAATCTAAAGCTCTTCATTCACTAGATTTATAAATAGAATATCATTTGCCTTACAATTAACAACTCAGCACTACCTCAAAACCCACAAAAGAGATCTTTGGTTGATTAAGAAGAAGATATGTATGGGTTTGTGGATATACAAATATATGATATTACTAATGCCATCATAGTTTTTGTTACTTCCACCTTAATCTCCCATCTACCACATGCTACCACAATTTTTGCTAGTGCAACCACAATCTGCCACCTATTCAATATAATAATTTTAGTTTTTTTTAATTGAGGTGTAACAAAGAGGTAATGCAATTTAGATGGATGCTTGGATGGATATATACAAATACAAAAAACTATCTTTTTCTTTTATTTATTTATTTGATGTAATCATTGCCATTAATACAAAAAAATAGAGATTTTGACATTAAGCAAAGAACTTAAGAAACATCAATAACAAAAAAAATATATCTTCAAGTTTCAAATGTATTTTTTTATTAATAATGAAATTTTATATTTATTATTAAAATATATATCTTATTTTATTTTATTTATAAATATAAATTTCTTGAATTAATTATATAATTTTAGGATTCTTGTCATGGATTTTTAAATTTCTTTAAATTTTTTTTTTTTTGTATTTTTTA